CGGATACCGGTACCCATCCCTACTCAGGACTGGATATACTTATTTAATACAATTTTAAGAAGTGATAAAATCAAACCTCAGGATTTGTGATGATTACCTGGAATAGCTGTTGTTACTTTGTAATAAGCAGAAATCATCTAATAAAAACGTAATAACCACTAAAAGAAACTTCAACGATTGAGATGATTACCTGAAAATGACTGGTAATCATCAAAATTGATCATACAATGTAGACTTGATCATACTTGACTATTACCTCATTTTTACTGAGCTGTAAAAGAAATTGCTACCTAAATGATAAATGACTGGGTCATGTAGGTGCATAGCTTTTATAAGAAGTGATGTAATTGTGTGGTGGTTGGTTTACAAATACCTTCACACTACTTAATGTCTTTATGAAGTTGAAGGAGTCATGTGACCTTGTGGTGGATTTTTGTATGATATGTGACTATGTAACTATATACACTATATGTCTATGTGCACTGAACATATATATTTTTACTTTCATGTAGAGTCTTAAGCACAAGACATTTTGCTTCACCAAGGTTTATTAAGATGGTACAGTAACAGGGCAGTTAATGTAAGGGGAGAGTTCTCCTGAATAATTTACTGTCCGGTAACTAACCTTCCCTAATACACACTCAACGTCTTTAATGCAGCACAACCAAAAACAGTAACACTGTAAACTATATAAACACACACACACACACACACACACACACACTATGAACCTACACTGAAGTGTTTTTATATATGTGCCACGTGTAAGATTTAGTAATTAGGATCAATGTGTGATTGTCATGACCTATTGTGATAAGCCAGAGCAAGGGGTAGTCAGAGTCCTGACTGGCCTTTGGCCAAGACCTTGGCCTCTACCTGACCCCTGCAGCTGTGTTTGGACAGGTGGGAAAGTTACCCAGACACAGGGGGCGGGGATACTGGTCCCTATATATTAGGGGACCAGAGGACACCCCAGCACTTTTTTCCCCTCTGCTGTTACTCTACTGTCTGTGCTTAAGGCTGTACACCCCGGGGTTTTGCTTTGCTTGCTTTCTGCTATGTAATTCTCTTGCTAAATGTCTGTATGTATTTGTCCTGCTGTTCATATGATTCAGTGTATTAAACTCTGTTCCAAGAATTCTACTCTTTTACAGAGCATCTTTTTGAGTGTCTTGATTTTAATTGGATCTAAAAGGGTTGGATCTCCACATCGTTGGTGGAAGAAGGTTATCAGGATGGCTTCAAAATTTGCGACCACAACCTGTACTGCTGTACTAACTTTGAGCCCTGAACCACACTGACCCAGCAGGAAAACACCTTTAACGGACTTGTTGTTTTAACGGACTTGTTGTGAGTATTTTTGCTAATCTGGCTAAAAACACACAGACAATATTATATTGCAGTATCGTAACACTCATGTTGAACTGAGACTGACATTTATATTTTTAGTTTATTTCACTGGTTCTGAAATTTTGCAGCAGTTGGTCTGCACTGATGAAATGCAATCTAAAAATACAACATGCTGTGGGTTTATAGAGGACTATGTGAATGTGTTTCTGTGGCCAGTCAGAAGCTGTTATTTTATATTGATGCTGCTTTGGTTTCCTGACATGTGTGTGACATGTCAAAGACGAGTGTTTGTTAAAGTCAGGTAGACATCGTTTTTGGAGGCATTTCTGCCAGTTCAGTTGTGACTCGATTTCATCATGACTGGATATCTTTCGTTTGTCATCCTTCTCTGTAAGTTAAACTTTCTCTCATATATATTGTTTAAATGTGAATACTGCTAGTTACAGTCAATAGAAATGTAAAGTTGAATTTTTAATCTTTCTAATTTAATATTACTATTGTAACTATTTAATTTATTAACTAATTGTTTCTCCAACAGATTCTTTTTGTGAGATCAAAGGTCAGTCTATGAATTTGATATTTCTTTTGACAGTCACTTTTATCGATATTTAACATACTTCATACACATGCAGTTAGCTCCAGAAATAGGTGCGCAGAGACAACAGGGGCTCAAAAGCAATTGGACAACAACTAAAATTAATAACTCAAATAAGATGTTAATTTCTAATACTTGGTACTCTTTGCTGTCCATAACGGCCTGAAGTCGAACTCATGTACATCAGCAGATGCTGGGTTTCCTCCTTTTTAATGCTCTGCCAGGCCTTTATTGCAGCAGCCTTCAGTTGTTGTTCGTTTGTGGGTCTTTCTGTCCAAAGTTTAGTCTCCAGCAAGTGAAATGCATGCTCAGTTGGACAAAGGTCAGGTGACTGACTCGGCCATTCAAGAATAATCCACTTCTGTGCTTTAATAAACTCCTGGGTTGCGCTGGGTGTATGTTATTGTCCATCTGTATTATGAAATGCCGCCCAATTAATTTTACTGCATATAGCTGGATTTAAGCAGACAGTATGTCTCTGAACACCCCAGAAATCATTTGCTGCTTCTGTCCTGTGTCACATCGTCAATAAACACTAGTGTCTCAGTTCCACTTGCAGCCATGCACGCCCAAGCCATCCCACTGCCTCTGCCTGTCTTTTACAGATGATATGATATGCTTTGGATCATGAGCTAGCCTTCCTATTCTTGAAGCTTGTTAGTGGCTGGTGCCTTGCAGTGAACTTCTCTCTATTTACTTTCATACATTCTTCTCTTTATGTTAGACTTGGACATCAATACACCTTCCTCCTGGAGAGTGTTTTTTCACTTGGTTGACTGTTGTGAAGGGATTTCTCGTCACCATGGAAATTTTTCTGTGTTCATCCACCACTGTTGTCCTCCATGAATAGCCAGGTCTTTTTGTGTTGCTGAGTTTACCAGTGCTTTCTCACTTTCTCAGGATGTACTAAACTAAATTTTACTACTCACAATAATGTAGAAATTTCTCAGATGGGTTTTTTTTCTGCACAGCTTAAGGATGGCTTGTTTTACCCACATGGTGAACTGCTTTAACTGTGGGGAATTACCCACACCTGCCCATGAAATAGCCTTTGAGTCAATTGTCCGGTTACTTTTAGTCTCTTTAAAAAGAGGGTGGCACATGTTAGCTGAAACTCTGAAATGCTTCATCCTTTTGGAATCAGCATACCCTCAAATACCCAACACACCTACAGATTTTGTGCAGACTCAGCTCTATGCCCATTATATAACTAAATTGGAATATTTTTCAGTAAACTGCTAAAAATCAACAATTGTGTCCAAATATAAATGGACCTAAATGTATGTCATTCTCTTACTTTACAGCTCTTCCTGAACCTAAACTGACAGTGAGCAGATCAGAGATCACAGAAACAGATTCAGTCACACTGAAATGCGAGGCTCCATCCTCTGTTCCTATGTCTCAGTGTTCTTTCTACTCTTCCACTGGAGCAACTGTTAAAGAATTGCCCTGCTTGACGACACTGACAGCAACCGAACTGCTGAAGCTGGCAAATCTCAAATCACCTGCTACTGTTGAACTGAACTGTTTTTACGCAACGCAGCGTGGAGCACCAAACTCTCCATACAGTGACTTTTCCAGCATCATCATTCAAAGTGAGTGGCTTTAGCACTGATTACTGATGGCATCTTAATGCAGAATCAACACAAGAAACACATGCTTTTAGCACGTTGCTCATGTTCACAGATATAATCCTAATGTTAATTAATGCTGCAATTCTTCAGCTCCTCTTCCACCTAAACTCATCGTTTAGAGATAGAGATTAGATGAAACTTTATTAATCCCTCGGGTGGGTTCCTCTGGGAAATTCAGTTTATCCACTGGTGATCACAGAGACAGACTCAGTCACACTCAACTGTGAGACTCCCCCATCTGTTTAAAATATAAAGTGCCTTAAGGCAACTGTTTCTGTAATTTGGTGCTCTATAAATAAAATTGGAATTGAAATATTCATACAATATCATAACAGCAGATGTTGTGTGTCGTAACATTTCAGTTTTAAATGTCACTTCAGTGGAAAATCCAAAGGATCCAAGCACGACAGATTTAACAACCATCATTCCTGATAAAACATCATCATCATAAAACATAATGTGTTTAAAGTTTGTCCACTATTCTAATTTACAAACATTAGTGTCACATACAGTAAATATTATTTAATTACACAACAGTAACAGTTCTAATTAAATCTTTGTTTTACAAAACCAAATTTACAGAATTTCTGATTCTGTATAAAGATGTAAAGAAAAAGAAAATGCAAAGATGTAGAAATGGACTTTCTATTCCACCTCATTCTACATTTACACAGTATGCTAATCACAGATGTTTCCTGCTGTAATATTCCAGTCTTAAATTGTGTTTTTCAAAGAATGGAAGAACCACAGATTTAACCACTGTCAGACCTGGTAAAAAAAAACATCTGGGCACAAAGTTCACACAGGTATCTATCATGAACATATGTAATTGTTACAGTGTGCCTGTAATATTATTTTCTAGTTTGTCCACTACTGTTCCACATGTTATGTAATCACATAAAATAACAGGTATAAACCTATCTCTTTTCAAATTTACAAAAAAATATAAATAAATCCAGAATGCAATAATTTTTTAAATCTTATCCATCTGTATTTTATTCACAACCAAATGAATACAGTACAAGGTGAATGACTTTTTTTCTTTCATTTATACATTTATGCAGTATCCTCATCACAGATATTTTGTGCTATAACATTTCACTTTTAAATGTTTATTTAGGAGCAAATCTCAAGGATAAAAGAACCACAGATTTGACAACCTTCAATCCTGGTACAGTATCATCTGTGGAGACAGTTGATACAGGTATCCTTCATTAAAATATTTTACTGGGACAGCGTGACATTTCTTTTTTCTTTTTTTGGTATTTTTGGTATCTTTGTTGATGTTGGGTTTTTTTTTTTGTTTGTTTCAAGTTTGTCCACTACTCTGTTTTTAAAACACTGGTGCCACATAAATGTTATCTAATTACAAAACAGTGACAGATGTGAATTTATCTTTGTTTTACAACCCAGAATCCGAAAAAGTTATAATGCTGCGTAAGCTTTAGATAAAAACTAAATGCAAAGATTTACAAATGTCATTGTTTTTATTAACAATGAATAAAAGAAACTAAAAGTGAGTGACTTTCTATTATACCTCATTATACATTTATACAGTATCCTAATCACAGATGTTTCCTGCTGTAATATTCCAGTCTTAAATTTGTGTTTAGGAACAACTTCAAAGGATGGAAGAACCACAGATTTAACCACTGTCAGACCTGGTAAAACATCATCTGGGCACAACGATCACACAGGTATCTGTCATGAACGTATGTCATTGTGACACTGTAATATTATTTTCTAGTTTGTCCACTACTGTTCCACATAGGATCAGTGATGGGAATAACGGCGTTACTAACGGCGTTACTTTTTTCAGTAACGAGTAATCTAACTAATTACTATTCCTATTGTTACAACGCCGTTACAGTTACTAACAAGAAAACGCGTTATTATTTTTCAACAAACAGACAGTTGAAGCTGTGTTCAGCTTACCACATCTTATATCAGTTGCGCGAAAGTAGTTGTAAGTAATCTGGACGCTACAGCTTTAAGCAGCTGTGCGCGCTCCGCAGACGATAATCATGATCACTGTCTAGCACAACACCTGGAGCTAAGGGGGCAAAACAATCGCATGAGTGATGAATAAGTGATGATAAACAATATATACGCAGCGTTTTTTTCTCAATAGTTTCGTCACGTTTACTGTCTAAGGACAGCGCTAGCAAGCGCTCTCTGCTTATGACCCCACAAAAAAACAGAGGACGTTTTAGGAGTGATGGCGAGTGAGAGAGAGAGAGAGAGAGTGAGCGAGAAAGAGCAGAAAAAGAGAGAGAGAGAGAGTTTTGAGAGATTTGTAACGTTTAGCGTGTTTGGAGTGTGTAATTAATGTGTTGTCTTGTGTAGTTAGTGTGTAGTGTTGTGGATAGTTTTGTGTTGTGTGTCAGAACAATGAGACGACTGCTGTCTCCAGATAGAAAAAGGAGTGATACACCTGCTTTCAGGCCTGCAGGTATCAGGCTGTGATGTGCTCCTTTATAGTGGACAATTATTACAATTACAATTATTGTTTTGGAGTGGCACAAATAATTTTTGTGGCATCTTATTGAATGCAGAACAGCTGATTGTTCTGTAAATAGTTTGAAATGGTTACTTTAAAAAATCAAGGTAAAAGGTAAACGGATGCAAATAACTTTGCTGTTTGCAAAACTTGTGCATAGGATTTTAAAATTGACAATTTATATTTGCATTTAAAGTTATGAAATATGATTCATTTAACATGTTTGTGGTTGTTACAGTAAAAAAATATAACTTTTTCTACTCTGATTTTATGTTTTTTTTCTGATTTTAGATCAATTGTGTTAATACAGTGTGTCTAAATGAAAACATGACTGTAAATTTAGACACGTGAGGTTGTGCTGAAAAGAATGATGCCAAACAAGGCAAAGTACATCGTTTTTAAAGGTAAAATGTGGAGGGAAAATCAAAAGTAGTTAAAAATGGCCAAGTATAACCTGGACCCCAGAGGGTTAAACATTTTTTTTAAAGTAACGCAATAGTTACTTTTCAAGTAATTAGTTACTTTTAGAATATTGTAACTCAGTTACTAACTCAGTTACTTTTTTGAAGAAGTAACTAGTAACTCGAATTAATTATTTTTCAAAGTAACTTGCCCAACACTGCATAGGATACATGTTATATAATCTCATAAAAAATAACAGGTATAAGTCTATCTTTGTTTTCAAACTCTAAATTTACAAATAAAAATAAATCTCTATGTGATGGTGTGTTATTTTGAAAAAAAATCTCAAAATGTAACCAACATTTTAAATTATCATCTTAGAAATGGTTACTCCATTATCTATGGTAAACAATTTGTTAATGGTTGGTTTCACTGTCTCAGTCGCCATCTCAGCTTTGTCTCAGTCTTAGTTTTGTGGAATTGAAAATTGGAATTGAAATATTCATACAATATCATAACAGCAGATGTTGTGTGTCGTAACATTTCAGTTTTAAATGTCACTTCAGTGGAAAATCCAA